TTGTGAAACCTAAATCCAGCTCACCCTCCTTGAATAGTATTGCACTGTGGGCAGCTATACAGAGATTAAAGCTGAATGGTTTTTACTTCATGGGCAAGCAGGGGTTTTACCAGACTGTCCCAGGAACAGCAAAAGGGACAGGTGATGCCTCAACAGCAGTGATGGGCACATGTGTAGCTTATTGCCTAATTAGCTTTGATCATGAAGTAGAAACAGCTTTTACACTGAGCTTCTCTGGTGCTTAGTGAAATCAACTTTTCAGTTTGGAGCAGGAAAGTGGAATATTGTTACAGGTTTTTTTGTTTTTCCCTGGTTTTTGAGCTGTAGATGAAGGAATCTTTTGGAAGCCAGTCCTGGAGCCTAAAACTGAGTTGTTTCTTCATTATTTTCTCTTGCCCACCAAAGATGGCTGAGCAGCAATCCAATTTAGAGCATGCAGGTTATGGGTAATACAGAGTGATTCTGTACTGAGAGCTGCTTGTTGCCTCTCTTGTTGTACTGGCAATTGCACAGAAAAAGTACAGTTTCAGTGAGAAAACTGTGTCATAAAATGTTCACCAACTGGACTATTGTCCAATAAACACATTATGATTACCCTTACTATAGGACCTACCTGGTGGTTGCACTGTATCTGAAATGATTAGACATTAGCTAAAAATGCCAGCACTTTTTCCCTGAAAAAAGACGTGTGTGGCTACTCTGATGGGAGTTTGAATGCTCTTGTCGTGTGCTTGTATTGTTGTAACACCTAAAAGCTCTAATAAAATCCATTGTTCCACTAATCACTGACCAGCTCTAAAACAAAGCACTGTTCCCTGCCTGAAGTAATTGCAGTCTGTGATAAGAGAACGAGTGGATTTGAATAAAAGAGAAAGAGGGTTGAGGGCAAAAATTTCTTGTCAAGTACGCAATGAACAAGTACAGCCTGTGTTCAGCCCCGTTAGAAAAGCAAACAGAACTATACCTGCAACCATCCCCAGTTAACATGCTGGAGTTCTTTAGCTATATCTCTTAATAACTTAAACTATATAAATTTATGTAAGTGCTACTCCAAGACCACGGTTCTCTACCAGAAGATCATATGTTTCATCTTGCCATTGCTTCCTACCCCAATACAGAATAATCTAAAACTGAATAAAGTGCCCAGTGAGCAGTGGGGACGACCTGGTCATTCAAGGTCTTCTGAGCAGAAGCTGTTTCTAAATCAACAGCGAAAGTCTGTGATTCCGCATACTTTTGATGAGGAATTTCGCTAAGGAGAAATCTAGTTGGAAGAGCATATGTAGTATGGTTGTGTCTTTCCTGACACCCTTCCCCCAGGTCTGCTGTGGTCCCAGCAACAGTGAGAATGGGGTTTAAATAACTAGTATTTGTGCTTAGAACTACATGCTTCTAAATACAGTTCAGAAGAAACCATGAAGTAGCAAAGAACATGTGAGGCGCTCTAATTCTTGAAAGATCAAGAAAATAACCTCTTATGTGCTGTAAAGGGTTTTCTTTGCACAATGCTTTTAATGTGACAGATATGAGATTTATCCTGTCCTATTTTTGGAACTGTTTAAAGGTCAGTTTATATATCTCAGGTGGTTAAGAAATTAGGCTGAAACACACTATGGCTATATATCAGTCTTCAAGCTCCGCTTGTGGTTGTGAATGTTGATTTGATTTATAAATGACACTGTATCATGGGTTCTGTCTGGACATTTCTTCCTGCTGGATTGTACGGTGCTAGCTTGAAATGCAGACTCTGCTTTGCTGTCCTTGACCAGTGGGTTAGCAGCAGCCTATGGGGGATAGTTGGGACATAGGTGGGCTGCAGCCAAACAAAAATATTGATTGTCTTGGGCTGGGAGTGGGAGAAAAGGTCACTAAGAGCATCACTGAAGGGGAACTTCAATAATAGGTGTTTCAGAGAGATGAGGAGGTTTACACAGGAAAATAAGGGAGGACCTAAAGGAATGAAAGGGCTGCCTACAGTAAAGACAGGGAAAGGTGGTTACGTTTGGCTGTTTATTTTCACAGGTCTAATTATACCGTGTGTGGTGTCCATGTGTGAAGCATGATTTATTTTAGGAATCCCATTGGGAATATCCTCCAAGTCATTATTTTTAATTGGTGAGAAGCTAAGCCCCGAAATCCAGGAACTGGGGAAGTGTGCAGTTGCTCCTGAAAAGGGTCTGGAAGAATAACACTTTCATGTCACTATGGGCTGTCAGACTGTAGAGTCCTAGTTTTCAGGAAAGAACAAAAGTGAAAACATCTGAATCCCAAAAAGCATGATCAGAGGCGCAGAGCTTGTGCAATACCATCGCAATCTCGTTACTTCCTGCAGTTTAAGGGCACGAGATATGCAGAGAAGAGAGATTCTTGCTGAAGTATGGTAAGCATCTCAGTCGGGTGCCCAGTAGGACTGTAGAAATAATGCTTCTCAGTTTCATTTGTGCAATGCTGCCTTCTAATTTTTCTCTTCATAGAGCAAAGATTTTTGTCGTCATCCCATCTTCGTCGTCCCCCCCCCCCCAAGAAAATATTCTGCCTGCATGGGTGCACAGAATGTGTTTTCTTGCATTCCTGCTAACAAGCATCTTCTTTAATAGTAGCTTTCTGTGCATATTTAATGTATATATTATGGAACTGATTCTAAGATACATCTTGTGAAGCCCATGATTGCAAATCCTGAGGTATGCTGTGCATTTCCTATTCTGAGCAGCCGTTTACACTTGGACTTTATTTATTATCTGATGTTTTAAAAATTTACACTCTCATGCTTTTTTTCCTACTGTTCTTTGTCCGCTGTAAGTAAAAAGGTTTCCGGAATTTCCAAGTTTTCTGTCTCCCTCTGGCTCTTCCAAATAATTTACAAGCCCCTCAAAAATATCCATGGTTTTGTGTGTGGGTATTTGGTTTGGGGTGTTTATTATTATTATTAGTCTTTAGTTCTGGTTTGTGAAGTTTTCTGAACTTAGACCTGCCTATTTGAAGTTCTCTTTATGGACGATTGGCATTTTGTATGCGGAATGTAAAGATCACATTTGTTTGTGACCCTAGTAGCCTATTACAACACAAGCAGAAAATGAACAGTTTGTTATATGCTTTTTATGAAACATGTGAAAATGGGATATTCTTTTGATGAAAGGCACACTGGAGGGAAGGGATTGAGCTTTTACTTTGTTTCTCTGCCACTGCTTGATTATTTGGGAAGGCTTTCTCTAAATCTCTGACACTGATGAGAGCCATTTGAGAAGTTCCACTTAGGCAGGCCAAGTCTGGGAGCACCAGCACAATTCCATTATTTCAGCTGGATTTTATTACTGGAAGCATCTTACCCAGCTGCATAGCAGGAATGTTTAACCAGAACAAGGCAAACTTCCATAAGCTGCTTAATTCTGACTTGGGACTGTTCCTTCAAATCAATTGATATTGAAATAATTACTTCTCAGAATCTGTAGAGGAAAAGGATGTAAAAAAGAAAATTAAAATCTAATTAAATGGAGGTAGGAAGCAGTGTCTGAGTAGACAAGTCTTAAGCCTTAGCAAATTTTCAAAGGTTACATTACCCTTTTTGTCCCTGGAAATCTTTCTTTTTCCTTTACTCCCCTCCTCTTGCACTTCTATCATTAGTTTTTAAGTGATAGGAAAAGAGCATTTTGGTTTTGTTGATTCTTTTTATTTGATTGTTTTGTTTTTAAAAAGATTTTTTAATCTCTATTTACATTATTAGGATATTAAAGTGCTTTATGTATTTATTATTTTTTTGTATATATAAAAAGAAGTGATCCAATAGAGCTGACTGAGCTACTCAGGCAGTGTCAATGTTTTGAACAAGAGTAGAGCATCGCTGCTGTTCTCTCAAGAGCACAGGTTTTTATGTGTAGTGTTTGCAGCCAAATTTCAGCTTAGGCAACTGTTCTGCTTCCTCTAATGCCCTTTTCATAAACTGTGTAGTTGTTCTCCTCTTCATTATTAAACTGCAGGCCTGCATTATAAATTCACTGTGGTGGATGAAATACTTTCTGGAGAAGAAGCTTAGCCCAGACTATACATTTCATGAATTTTATAATAGTTTAACTACTTCCCTTGATGGAATTGTACCTTCTGGATAACAGAAGTCCTGATATTTTGGGGGGTGGCTCCCTTGAGAGTGCATATTTATAATATAGAGATAAAAATACTTACAAAAAGAGCTTTGATTTGTCTTGAGGATGGGGAGTTATGTTTTAAGTAAGGTTAGATATGAAATTGGAAGTATGGAAACTTAGGTTTTTGTTTAGTGGAAATCTAGCTTGAAAGCACAGATATTGAAGCCCATGAGGCAGGAGATTAGGCTCCAACTTTCCCTGGGGAAGATAGGGTGTTTGCTGGGGTCAGGGTGTTTAAAAGCACTTTTCTGAAGTGAAGCAGTTAATCACTCAAACAGCAAAAATGAACGGCACCCATATATAAATATCGAAGAAAAAGTAAAAATGGGCAAGCATTTACAAGGCTTGATACACATGTGCCAGCCCTCTAAACCTCTGGCTTTATTCTGTTCAGGGGATTTCCTGGTTCTGCTGTGGTTTACTTGTCTGTTATTTGACATATAGAATCATAGAATCGTTAGGGTTGGAAAGGACCTTACGATCATCTAGTTCCAACCCCCCTGCCGTGGGCAGGGACACCTCACGCTAAATCACATCACCCAAGGCCTCGTCCAACCTGGTCTTGAACACTGCAAGGGATGGAGCATTCACAACCTCCCTGGGCAGCCTATTCCAGTGCCTCATCACCCTAACAGGAAAGAATTTCCTTCTTATATCCAATCTAAACTTCCCCTGTTTAAGTTTTAACCCGTTACCCCTTGTCCTGTCACTACAGTCCCTAATGAAGAGTCCCTCCCCAGCATCCCTATAGGCCCCCTTCAGATACTGGAAGGCTGCTATGAGGTCTCCACGCAGCCTTCTCTTCTCCAGGCTGAACAGCCCCAACTTTCTCAGCCTGTCTTCATACAGGAGGTGCTCCAGTCCCCTGATCATCCTCGTGGCCTCCTCTGGACTTGTTCCAACAGTTCCACGTCCTTTTTATGTTGAGGACACCAGAACTGCACACAATGCTCCAGGTGAGGTCTCACAAGAGCCGAGTAGAGGGGCAGGATCAGCTCCTTCAACCTGCTGGTCACGCTCCTTTTGATGCAGCCCAGGATACGTTAACACCCAATACATCTCACCCCTCAAAGCATTTGTCCCGTCTTTCCTTGAACCCATGTAAACATTCTTGCATTCACAACTTCCTTCAGCAAGGTATTCCAGGGTCATGCTACCCTGTGCCTTGTTGGTTATTTTGAACATGGCTCCCTCCAGTTTCATTTATTGGACTTCTTGAAAGGACTGTCCATCCCTATCCATCCTTCCTATGTCACTCATGGTTTTGCACACCCGTCATATCCTGCCTAAATCCCTGCAACAGACTGGAAAGTTTTGCCTACCTGTTGTCCCTCATGGAAGCCACTTCATGCTTTTGACAATCCTTGGTGCCTTCTTTCTGAATGCTTTTGTTTTTATAATGATAGATGATTAGGTTTCAAGCCAAGGGGTTCAGCAATGCACATGCTGTTCACAGGTATGTATATATATGTTTAGTAAGGTGACCTGTCAGTTTAAACAGCAGCATAGTGACCTATTCTTCAGTGTTTTCTTAATTCCAAGTGTTTCTCTATTTTTTTTCACTGCTATCTAGCACTGGCTTGTTACATTGTGGAACCAATTATTGAGGCCTCCAATTCCTGCTATAGTAATGGCCAGCTCAGAACCTTCATGCCACGTATAAAGCTGGGATTTGTTTTCCTTGTACGCACTGCTTTATGCTTATTTCTATTGGTTTTCACCTGCCACCTGTATTATTGGACAGGTTTGTAAGGTCCTTCTGTCCAGTCTCATCTCTACTCCTCTGTATACACTTTTTTATCACTGGCATACATCTTTCAAGGTTATGTATTACTAAAATGAACAGCACAAATCCAATAGATTCCACTATTTCCCTTCACTGCAAAAACTGACGTTATCAATACCCTATCTCCTCTGCCTTCCATCCTTTAGCCAATTGCTTCCTCATTCCTGGGCCTTCCCAATTACTCCGCTGCTGCTTAGTTTTCTTAAGAGCCTATGCTTAGGGAGTTAGTAAAAAACCCTTTTTGTTATATCAACCATTTTTTCTGTTCTTGCTGGTTAGGGCATTGGAATTAGATGATGTTTAAGGTCCCGTCTGATTCTAGCCATTCTATGACTCTATGATTTCTTTAAATACTTCAAATAATCAGAATGACAAGACTACCCTCTATAGAGTATTTGTGTCTGATACATAGATCTAAGGAGGTTTTATTTTTGTAGTTTCCCACTAATTCTACCTAGTGGAAATTGCTTTCAGTTCCTGATTTGATTTTCATCCTCTGACCTATCATTTACCTAAGGTAAAGAACTTTTACATTTGCACGGTAAGAAAGACTATTGCAAAGTGTGCGTCTTCTGCACTCCTTTGGCTTTTTCTCATCTATCAGTTTGTAAGTTCACTCATAGTCTTTGTTTAAAGTACAAGCAGCTTGTCCCCCTTACAGCTCTGATGAAGTTCAACTCTCTTGTGCAGGCTTCTTCCAGATGTGTACCTAGGTAGCTTTATAAATTGAAGAAAACAGCCTCTTGGAGTTTCATGCTTCAGATAAATTTGTACTGGCTTCACGTTCCAACTATATCAAATAGAAATGTCCTAGGAAAAGACACACTTTAATCACAAAAGATTGACTTTTGCTTTAACGTGAAGAAGAGACGAGTTGTCACAATTGAAAACATTTGAGATTGGGTTTTGTGTTTAGTGCTTTGTTGAAGAGATCTCATACAGCAAAAAAACATCCCCAATTCTATATTGATTTGTTTGTAGAAACATGAGATTTCTTTCTTTTTAATTTTTATATTTTTCAATAATAAGATTATAACGGATCAACAAATTTATCCAGCTTCTGCTTCTGAATTTTTCAAATATTAATGAATATATTGAGCTGATGATGGGGGTTGGTGATGCATTGTAGAAATGTTGAAACGTCATATAGTCCTGCTCTGTTCATATCGCTATAATGACGAAGGCTGTATTATGGATAATTTAGATAATCTGCAGGGGAACTAAACCAACGCCTGTGAAGGAGAATGTGGTGTTATCCCCCTAGGCCATGGAGCACTCCCTTTGCTGGAATAGCTTCTAACTGCTATTTAGTGGGCAGCTGGTAGAAAATAAAATTGCTTTAGGCAAATGAGAATCTTATTCTGTATTATTAATGTTTGCACTCTGGGTGAAGAATAGGATAAACTAACTCCATTTGTACTAATGGGAGAAAACTTGAGGCAAAAAAGAAAAGGAGGGAAAGATCAATATCTTCTTTTAGCAAAGTTTCTTTTGGATGTGGGGGATTGTTTGGTTGGGTTTTGTTGAGGGTGAAGTGAGGTGGTATTGCTGGTCAGTAGAAGTGGTAGGTAGGACATCTGCTGCTGCTTTTCTAGATGGTGACTTCTGCTGTCTAATGGTCACCCTCAAATATCTTGTTGATTGAGATGATAATCCCTGGTTTGCAGGAACTTCAGTTATGAAAAACTGAAGGTAACAGAAGAGTATTTTGTGAGGGGAACATTTCGCACCCTAGAAACTGGCTGAGTTCATATAGAGTGCTGAAATCCTCTGGCAAAATGAGAACATAGATGGTGTACGCTAGAAAGAGATGGGATTAACAGAGTAGGTTTTCACTAGGGAAACTTGAAAGTTTTCCAGTTCTCTGGATTTGTTGTTTTTTTTTTTTTTGGGGGGGGGGGGGAAGACAGGTTTTTCTTTTGTTTGGGGTTTTTGTTTTGGGGGGTTATTTTTTTAGTAAAGAAACTAAAAGCCAGTTTTATAGTGTTGAGATTATGAAATGTTATTAATCTATACAAATATGATCCAGAGGAGCTTGTTGATCTGGGAATCCATGTGTCAATTTATACCTAAACCTTTCAGAGGCATACCTAGTAATATTGAATATGATGGTGAGAACAAAGACAAAACAGTGATGTATAAAAGATACTGGAGTCCATGAGGGCTGTGGGAGGAGTTCAGCAGGAAAACATTTCTTCCAAGTTCCCCACACAGTAGCCCTGGAGGAGATTTTCATCTCTTATAAAACAGATTTCCCATAATGGTGTCATCTGCTGCCCTTAGGATAGAGAGAGGAATGTTTTGGAGACTACACAATGTTTTCGGGAGGATGGTATGATGATCTTGCCTCAGGCAAGTTTTTCTTTCCCTTCCCACTCCAGCTCTGTGTCAGCTCTTTTCTCAGCGTGCCACCTGCTCTCCTGCAGACTGGATGATGCACATATGCAGTGCGTATGGTATAGCCCTTCTTGGAAATAACTTCCAAACTGTGCATGGCCTTCCCTCCTGATGCTTCTGAGTTTTTTACCATATTGAGTAAGAGTCTCCACGATTTAATCAAGAAGAGATAACAGTATGGTTTAGAGCATCTGAATGAGTGAACTTATTAGCACTCCAATCCAACATGTGAATAAACTCTTAATATCCTTATTCAGTGCTATGTTTCCTTCCCGAACAAAAGTCATGCTGAAATCACTGGGTTGGAGTGGGTGGTGGTGTCTGTTTGCTTGCAAAAAAAGCACATATCCTGCTGGGCAGGCACATTATCCTAGAGAGCCCTCAAAGTTTTGCAGAACCAGTATAAATCTTTGGAAATATTTTTGATCATGGTGTCTGGATTGAATCCATAGCTCCCACCTGCAACGTTTAATTCTAAATTCAGTGTGATTAGTTTTTTATATTAGAGCGTATTGACTGGGCATATGCAAGTGTTTAAATTCGTATTAGCAGATGGTAGTTGGAAAACACATGAAATGAAATTTAGTAATAAATCAAAGCTGGAAATCTGTATATTGGGATTGCTGGGAAGCCACAAGCAGCAAACTGCAACTTCTGTCAGCATCCTGACTGGTTTTAGGTTTTGTCTGGGAGAATGTGGAAGGGGAAGATAAGAACTCTGCCTCCAAAAGCCATCAAGAAAAATAGTAAGGTGACAAGTGAGATAACAACAACATGTCACTATGAGAGCTTTTCTTTGGTTTCCCAGTGGTTTAGCTTTGAAGCACTATATATAGGCAATGGATATCAAACAAATGTTTAGATATGAAGGAGGCATTAACTGGCATGATTTTCTCCCTTCAAACCCTTGCCACCACAGAGGTTAGGCTGTAGTGTCTAATTATTCCATTGCCACATGATTTTCCATTTGAGTAATTTCCTTTGCATTGGCTGTGGTATATTGTGCTATTGTACAGCACCTAATTTGTTGTTTAAATTTAAATGTACTTACGCATATTGCTGGAATGGAAACAGCTTGCTTGATAATATTCATCCATTCATCCCTGACTTTCAGTACTCCCTTCTGCAGTCACACCTTTGATATTGGTTATTGGAGGTTATATGGCTTCTCATTATGATGCTTTAATAATTCTGTTTGGGAGGACTATTCCTGCACTTATCGCAGTTTATTTTAATTCCTAAAGCCTGCACTGATCTTTTATTTTTTTTCCTCCTCCATTTAGCTCTATTGCTTTATTGTTAGGATGTTCTGTTTGGGTTTCTTAGAATCATAGAATCGTAGAATAGTTAGGGTTGGAAAGGACCTTAAGATCATCAAGCTCCTTCTTTAGAGGACAGAAATGTCTTTAGTAGAATTCTGTGCATAATACCACTTCCTATCTGGTGTTGCCTTCTAAAGCTTGATCTTAGCCTTTGGGGAGGCCCACAGATTTTCTCCCCTCTGTTTCCTAAACAGTGTCCCATGGTGTGCTGTGTGACCAGTCAGATAACGGCCAGCTGAGAATTCTCAGGACTGAAGCAAAAGGAACAGACATAGCTAATGGTGGTTCAATGAGAAATTAATCCACTGTCTGCTGATAAGGTTTACCTCATCCTTTTTCTTCAGGGAAAAATTGATCCCTGGTGTTCTTGATGCCGCTATGTCTCTAGGAATCAGATTGCTGTGAATGAATAGCATTCAGTGCTAATGAACACAATAGTTGTATGTACAT